TCAGAGGGGTCATTTTCGACTCCTGGGAGAGCTAAAAACGACACCCCTCACTAGGATTCTGGCCCCGACGGGGGGAGGCAGAACAATGCTCCCCTCTTCTTTGAAGCCAACAGCATTGATTTTACTACGGTTTTGGCCCCATTTTGGCCTTCTGAGGGGGCAGCGCTAATTAAAGCTCCCCTCTTCTTTCAAGCCAGCATCATTGATTTTACTAAGGTTTTGGCCCCATTTTGGCCTTCTGAGGGGGCAGCGCTAATTAAAGCTCCCCTCTTCTTTGATCGATTTCCTCCAAGATGGCCCCAAGAAGCGCCCAGGAGGCACCAAGAGGCCCCAAGATGGCCCCAAGAGGCCCCCAGGAGGCCCCCAAGAGGATCCCAAACGGCCCAAAGAGGCCCCCCCGAGGCACCCAAGACGCCGAAAAGCCCATCAGGACGACCCTCTACTCGCCTGGGCGTCGTTTCTGGACGGGCAGGAGGAGGGGCCCGAACGACTCACACCAGGACGAGGGGCCCGAACAACTCACACCACGAGAAGCCCGAACGACTCACACCAGGACGAAGAGCCCGAACGACTCACACCACGAAGAGCCCGAACGACTCACACCAGGAAGAAGGGCCCGAACGACTCACACCAGGACGAGAAGCCCGAACGACTCAAACCACGAGGAGCGCTTTCTCTCCCTCCTCCTCCGCCTCGTCCTTCTCCCGCTCCCACCACAAGGAGGATGTACAAGGAGGCGGGAGGAAGGAGGAACAGGGGAGATATGCGGGGGCAGGCGGAAACACGCATGAAAAACACGACTGTCGGCATGCTTCGCTAGAGTTGCTGTTTTGAGATGGGCTGGTGGGGATACGCGAAGCGTGAAGAATTACTTGGCATTGCATTGCTTAGCTTTGCTTTGCGTTGTATTGCGTTGCTTGACATTGCTTGGTGCTGCTTGGCATTGCTAGACAATGCATTGCATTACTTGCCATTGCTTGGCATTGTTTGTCATCGCTTGGCATTGCTTGGCGCTGCTTGGCGTATGCATTACTTAGACTTGCTTCGCATTGCTTGGCGTTCCTTGGCATTGCTTGGCACTGCTTGGCGTTGCTTGGCGTTGCTTTTGATTGGTATTGTTTAGCGTTGCTTGGCATTGCTTCGGGTTGCTTGGCATTGCTTGGCATTGCTTGGCGTTGCTTTGCGTTGCTTGGCATTAGTTGGCGTGGCTTAGTGCTGCTTTGATCTGCTTGGCGTTGCTTGGCGTTGGTTGACGTTGCCTGGCGTTGCCTGGCACTACTGGGAAACAAATCTAACAATCAGGGCGGGGAACCCGAGGAACCCGAGGAACCCCCGAAGAACGGGCAACGTAAGAATGCGAAGCACTGGGGGCGGGGAACCCGAGGAACCCAGGGAACCTGAGGAACCTCGGGGAAACGGGCGCAATAACAATAGGAGGCACCGGGGGCGGGGAACCCGAGGAACTGGAGGAACCTGCGAGGAAGTGGCAAAGTAACAATAGGAGGCACCGACCTTTAACTGAGTAGGAAGTCCTTAGGCAAGCCTAATGCCTACTTAGGGACTTAGGGACATAGGAGGCACAGGGTGTGGGGAACCCGAGGAACCTTTGGGCAACGGGCAAAATAAGAATACGAGGCACCAACATTTAACCAAGTAAGAGCCCCTCAGGCAAGCGTAATTGGGGACAAACTCTACCCCCCCCGCGCACGGGGTTACCTATTCACCTTCCAGTACTGCGATTCACGCATGATTCTGACTCATCGAAGAATTTTCCATCTGAGCTGCATCCCCACCAAACAAGTATCGCTTCCTCCCGTCATCTCTGTTAAAGCATCACCATGCGCGCACGCTCGTTTATCTCAGAAGGTCAATATGTAGAATTCCCCTGCGCAATAAACAACAAGGTCCACACGCGCGCGCACATGTCGAAATCATACCAAACATATTCGTTTTGTACGCGTTCCACACAGCGACATGACAACAATCTGATTTTCCAACATAACTTCTCTGCCCGAGCGCATTTGCTGAATGAGCCCAACAGAAAATATCTCATTTGAAAATCTCGTGCAACACCCACATTCTGATTTCACCACTCGGCGCATCCGTGTTGATCTAGCATGCGCTCATCGCACGATACCGTATTTACTGATACCATGCGGACCACATGCACGCGCCACCATGCGCGTGTGCCAGAATCTTTCCAACATCATCATGTTTCAACGCATCTCAAAATAGTGCCCTTCGAAAACATATGAGCAACAACATTGTTGTAAACCAACGTCTCTCAGATTTATTGAAGTTCTGCGCCAGCGCTTCCTCTTCCCCCCATTCGTGCCATCATCAGCACATGCACATCACCATCGACACATGGGCATCATCATCTTCATCGTCGTCATCATCATCGGCGCCATCATTGGCCTTGTCGTCGTCATCGTCATCATCGCTATTTTCATCATCGCTGCCGCCGTTGCCGACGTCATCATGATTTCGCGCCTGCCCGAGTCATCGACCCGCGCTGAAGTGCTGGCACGCCACCGCGGCTTCTGAGGCGCGGTGGGGAATTCCCATCGGTAAGCGCCATCACGGCCGCACCAATTGTGCCAAACCAGCTGGTCGCTCTGCGCGGGAGCTTACGCGCGCCAGCGCGGCCACAGAGATGCGCTAGCAAATGACTGTCTTGGCCGAATTGTTTTTCAACAAACGCGTTGCGGGTGGGAGGGTGGGACATTTGAGCGAGCAGTGGAGTGCGCGACTTGAAGTTCTCTATTGAACCAGACAGATTGCACCACAGTTTGCGCCATGTTGGATGCACCACAGCTTGCAACACACATATTGCACGACGCAAGTTGCACTACATGGATGCCACCACCAACTATTGTACCATACCGGCTGTGCAACGTACCATGCAATACATAGCTTGCACCACAACTATTGCGCCACGTGTGTCAACCGCCTCAGGTTGCATACGACGTGTTGTATCCCACAGATCGCGCTGTATGCATACCTTGCGCCACTTATATCGTGTAGTGCAGGTTGGACTGTATATGCGCCAACACACAGGTTGCACCATTCACATATGGCACCACACAGAGTGTACATCGATAGTGCAGAGACTCTCGGTTGGAGGTCTACGCTGGCAGGCGACGTTGCCGCACTTCCCAGCTTATGACTATCCCTGCGGGTGATGAGGGGGTGGGCGCAGCTTTCGGTGTGCAGTGGCCCCGCGTCGGGCTGGCGATCAATCTCCCGTTGATCTCCACCTGTGTGTAAACGATGCCGTCCACCGCCAGCCAACATATTCACTGACCAAGCTGGATATCAACTGTCGTTGGCCTGTTTTCTTCAGCTCCTCTCTGTGAGGAGGTCCTGTGGCAACCCTACGTGGGCGCCTGTGCGACTTTGGCTGCCTATGTGCTGGGAGCAACCGTTGAACACATGTTCACTGAGCATCCGATGCCCCTTACTTGCGGAGAGAGAGAGAGAGAGATTGAGAGAAAACGAGATAGATAGATAGATAGATAGATAGATAGATATATATAGGTAGATAGATGTACATAGAGAGAGAGAGAGAGAGAGAGAGAAAGAGAGAGGGGAGAGAGAGAGAGAGAGAGCGAGAGAGAGAGAGAGAGAGAGAGCGAGAGCGAGAGAGAGAGTGTGAGAGAGAGAGAGAGAGAGAAACAGACAGAGAGAAGGAGGGGAAACAAACAAGTGATGAGCGGAATTTCCTTTGCCCCTTGCCACACAACTACATCTCGACCTGGCTAAACGATAGGACAGATGAATGCGACGACGCGCTCCCCCCTCCCCCCCTCTCAACCCTCCCCCTTGGGCGCAACCCTGCTCTGAAGAATTCGCCAGAACCTCGCCTCCTTGGCTGCCCCCCTTCATCTCAGCGTGCCACTTGCCGCGTGCTTCCCCCTCTCCCCTGCTGGCCCTCCCCTCTTCTCCGGCTCCTCCTCCTCCTCCTCCTCCTCCTCCTCCTCCTCCTCCTCCTCCTCCTCCTCCTCCTCCTCTTCGTCCTCCTCCTCCTCCTCCTCCTCCTCCTGCTCCTCCGCGTGCTTCTCCTCTCCCCTCTGATCCTCTGACAACCTGGTGGCCAGACGGCAACGGAGCAGCAGCGACTGCCCTCCCTAAGGACCAGCCGCCCAGCTTGAGCGAGTAGAACAATAACAGTCCTGCACCCTCCTATTCACCAGGCAGCTGCAAACACACTTTTTCACATGTGGAGCGTGCGGAGGCCACGCGATGGATACGTATGCGGAGGGCTACGGTACCCAGTCGCACGAGGGCCGAGCGCTGCAAATACATTCGACCACAGGTGTATCCAACTGTCGTTCGGGCCGGCAACGTTATTTGTATCCAACTTCCTGATATTTATGCTCCCCCTCTTACGGCCTTCACTCTTCACTTTCCGCTATCTAAGCAAGGCTTCGCGCATGGCCCGCGAACGCTGGGAACGGGAGGGAGTGGCGCACGTCGATGCGCACACCCGGATGCCCAGACACCCAGAGGCTGTTTTTCTTGCATCGGCTGCGCACAAGGATGGGCCTGGGCCAGAGTGCCCTCTGATGCGCGGTTTTGGGTGGGCCGTGCCCAAGCGCGTAAGCCGCTGCTGTCGCATCGCGTTCAGCGACTGGGGAGCCCCGAGTGGGCCCGCACCAAAGGCCACTTCTGCGAAAGATCACTCGTACGCGTAGTCGATTGGAATCATGGGCCCCGGTCCCAAAACTGGCGCCTAAAGGCCAGGATTCTCAGACGTGGCCCAGTGCCCCCAACAAATCCGAATACTCATCGTAGAATATGTGCCGAATCGAGAAATTTTTGGGTCCGCTGGCTCCAGGCAGAGCCACCGGGCCTTGCCAGCACGAGGCTTCTGCGAGCGGGCCTGCGTGCTTGAATCTTCCTGCGAGCTGGTCGCCATGGAGGCGCAGATAACGTTTCTGGTGTGATCCTGCTCGGCAGCCGAGCAGCCTGGTTGCCTCACGCTCCCAGCGCGAGGACTAGAGCAACACGACTGCCCGAGTCGGGTGCTGGCCCTCGAGGATCCGGGTGATCCTCCGAAATCTTGCTCTGCCTGCGCTGTCGAACCGTCCAGACTCATCCCGAGCACCAAGACGGCGCCTGCATGTGGAGCCGAGGATCTTGCAGCGTCCACGATCGCTCATGTCACTCCTAACCGCGGAGGTCTCCAGAAGTTTCCGGAAGTCTCCAGAGGTCCTGGAGGCGGGCCACCGAGGCGTCCAGAGGTCCACCGAGGCCTCCAGAAGGCCAAGATGAGCCCAGACCGATCCTGGAACCTCCATTCAACGTTCCCGATCCTGAGGGGGAGGGGCTGACCCCTCCCGCTGCCCCCTCTCCAGGGTCCTAATGTCGGAGGTCCTAAATCGGGTCAGGGCATGCACCTCCTGCGCCTCCTCTTCTTCCTCCTCGCTCTCTTCGACCTTCTTCTCCTCCTCCTCCTCCTCCTCCTCTTCGTCGTCCTCGCCCTCGTCCTCCTCCTGCCCCCCCCCCCACCCCTGCTTGGGTCCCCCTGCAGCGATTTTGGTCCAGAACTTAAGACTCTTCAGCTTGTCCCCAGCCTCGTTGAAAAGGGCGCCGACGAGGAGGCACGAGGGAAAGGGGAACAAGGAGAAGGAACGAAACAATTTCTTGTGGGGGAAAGATAAGAATGATCATTATGGATACTTCAGGAGGAGGGATTGCGGAAGGAAGCATTGAGGAAATGAGGATGATGACGAGGGAGGGGAACTTGTACATTGCGCTGGAAGCTTCTTATTCGTGTGCGTGTGTGTATATGTATATATATATATATATATATTTATATGTATGTATATTCCCCTTTCCATCTTTTTCCAATCTGGGACCCTGCGACCCCTCCCTAAACCGGACACCCCAAATGCCTTGCCTAAACGGGACCCCTGGATCCCTGGCCCCAAGGGCTTTTTGGATGCCCCTTCAGAAGGCCCCCGGGCTTTTTTGGAGCTCCTGGAAGTCCCTGCTGGGCCTAGGGAACGGGCCCACATCGGACACGAGGGCGGCTGAACAGCGCCCCGAGGGCTGCGCGAGGCCCCAGACACCCACCACACGCCCGAAAAAGACCCAAAGAAGACCCCCAATAGGCACCCGAAGCGCACAAAAACTGGTTCCCAATGGTTTTGTATGATTTTTGGGATGCTCTGTTCTTCGGTTTTTCAGGCGTCCGAAACTGCCCAGGATGCCCGAAACTCGCCGCAACACTTCCAGGCAGTCGACGAGAGCTCCAAGGCGGCCCGATAATATCCCGAAGTGGGCCGAAGTAAGCCCCATGACGGCCCAGGATGGCCCCCAAACGCCCCCCAAAGCTTTCCAAAGCGTGACCTGGTCGTTCAAGGAGACCGCGGTTGGAAGGAGGGCGGCCCGAGGAAGCCCGCAGAGGCCCTCAGAGGGCGCCAAGGCGACCTCCAGAAGGCCAGAAGAAATCCTTACAAACTTTCGTGGAACCCCCAAGAGGCCCCCTCCAAGAAGGAGCCTCCGCAAAAGCGCTGAGAAGGATGGGGAGCAACTCGCGGGGTAGAGCGAAAATGAGGGGGAGAAGAAGGAACGATGAGGAGTAACAACGAATAACAACATGATGACGACGATGTCGGGCAATGTAGCACGGAATTATCGCTATATTGTATTTTCCTGCCCGTCCACCTGCATGCAACACTTCAAGGACCAATGTGCATGGCGCGAAACACCGCTGCAGCCTGGCACACTGATCTATGCACATACATATTTGGGGAGGGTGGTCCGCGATACATCAGCATACGCATGCATGTGCCTGAATACAGATACGTGCACTTACACATTCACCTATGGTGGCATTTGCATATATATATATATATATATATCTATATATATAAACGTGTGACCATGGTGCTTGCTATCTTCAACGGCGTATATCGACACACTTACACATGCGTAATTTCACGCATCCATGACGAGATGATGGGGTTAATGAGGAATACACACATATATATATAGAAACATACATATATACGTAAATGCATTCATACATTTGTATCTACATATTTTCATACGTACATCTGTATATATGTTTAGAACGTAACTACACATGACCAAAGAAACTACGATATACAAAACGGTACATACATATATACATGCTTACAGGCACGCATACATACATACATAATCATAGACGCATATACACGTTTGACTTGTTTATATTGAGACAAACGCAGAGAGCGATACATATATATATATATATATATATATCTATACAGAGAGGGAAACACTACACATAACACATATGCAAACACATGATGAGTGTGTATATGTACATAGAAACTGAGAGATACAGAGAGAAATAGAGAGAGATACACACATATACATATATATATAGAGAGAGAGAGAGAGAGAGAGAGAGAGAGAGAGAGAGAGAGAGAGAGAGAAAGAGAGAGAGAGAGAGAGAGAGAGAAAGAGAGAGAGAGAGAGAGAGGGAAAGCAAGAGAGAGAGAGAGAACGAGAGAGAGAGAGAGATATACATCTCTATACATATATATACTTATATACAGAGAGTAACAACGAGGTACATAAAGATAGCACGTTATGTACAGAGAAAGAGAATGAGAGAGAGAGCGAGATACAACAAATAGTGATAGAGACAAAGCAAACAATACATATACACACATATATATATGTATATACACATATGTATATATGTGTGTTGAGAGAGAAAGAGAGAGAGAGAGAGAGAGAGAGAGAGAGAACATAAAGAAAGAGAGAGAGAGAGAGAAATAGAGAGAGAGAGAGAGAGAGAGAGAGAGAGAGAGAAAGAGAGAGAGAGAGAGAACGAGAGGGAGAGAGAGAGAGAGAGAGACAAAAAGAGATCGGACAAATAAACGGGGTCCCGTCGGCGGCCGGCTGTCGAGGCCGCCATCGCACTCTTGGCGGTGGTGCGCGCCTTGGGGTGCGGGGAGCGCTGAAACGACCGTGCCCCGGCGCTGAGCGACTGAAGTAAAAGACGGGGCGGTCAGCAGGCGATGCGCCGCGCCTTGCGCCCCTTGTGGGAAAAAGGGCCCAGGTCGGCGAAGCCCCAGTTGGCGGCTGGGGGACAAGGGCTTGAGCGCTGAGCGGCTTGCGAACGACGGGGCGTCCCCCGCCGCCGCAGCCATGGCCCGATGACGCGTGGCCGCGCGGGCAATCGGGCTGGCAAAAAGTGGGGCCTACGGCCGTCGTGGAGGCCCTGTGCGGGCATGCGTGGCACAGGGAGTACATGCAGCGTAAACTACGATATTTTACAGTGGACGTATGTAAACACATCTATAAAGGTATAAGGAGACGGGGAGGGAGGAAAGAGGTTTGATCCGATGACGGGCTCACGCTTGCTGCCGTCGAAGAGGACGCCGAAGAGTACCCCCGTGAGGGGGAGGACGGCCCGACTGGGCATTGTCACCCTCCCACCGCGGAGCTGCATCCAAGAAACCCTCCCGCACGATGCTACTGAGGGTCTCGACAGCGAGCTTCGCGCGGGCCCCTGCGCCATTGCTGCGGACGCGGGCGATCGCTTCGTCTGCACCGACGGCCGTGCCATCTCGCCCTGCGTGGTGGCCCTCTTCGATGCGGGCGCGGTCGCCCGCAGCGCATGCCGCAAGAACCGCCGCCCGCCGCGGGCCGCTGGCCCAGGCGTCCTCGGGCAGGTCGCCGCCGACCTGCGCGCGGCCGCGCCAGCGCCCGCGCCAGCAGCCGCCGCCTCGCCAGGCCTCCCGCCCGACAGGGCAACTGCCGCATCGCCCACCTCCACCTCGGCCACCGTGAGCTGCGAGATGCCGCCGCCGCCGTCGCCCAGCTCCCCCCAATGGGGAGTCTCAACGCAGCCCGCTTGCGGGAGCAGGCGCAGGCGCCTCTGCAGGGGCGCTCGGCGCGGTGACTGCGGCGCTCCGCAGCCCTTCCGCAGCCAGCAGCGGGCGCACGCCCTCGCGGGAGTGCGCCGCTGCCCGGCACCTGGCAGTGTGGGCTGCCACGGGGGACCCGCGCGCGGCCTCCCGGGCGGCGCGGCGCTCCACCCGCGGCGCCTGCATCAGCGCCCAGCGGCGGCGCCCGACGGGGCGCTCCCAGCGATGCGAGCTCGAGCGATGGCAACTGAAGGCATGATGATGCTGATGATGATGCTGCTGCTGATGAAGATGATGCTGATTCTGCTGATGACGACGATGATGATGCTGATGCTGGTGATGGTGATGGTGATGATGCGGATGCTGATGCCGCTGATGCTGCTGCTGCTGAGGATGATGATGATGCTGATGAGGATGATGATGATGATGATGATGATGATGATGATGATGATGATGATGATGATGATGATGATGCTGATGCTGGTGATGGGGATGGTGATGATGACGCTGCTGGTGATGATGATGCTGATGCTGATGTTGATGCTGAGGTTGTTGTTGCTGCTGTTGATGATGACAATGACGAGGACGATGATGATGGTGCCAATGATGCGGAATGTACTTATGCTGATGCTGATGATGGTGATGATGAGGAGGAGGACTAGGAGGGAGGAGGGAGGTGCGAGGAGGGAGGAGGGGGGTGGCGGAGGCGGAGGCGGAGGAGGAGGAGGAGGAGAGGAGGAGGGAGGACCAATGTAAACCTAAACCCCATCTTCATAGGCCCGCAGAAAGATTCATTTCCACGGACGGAAGTGGTCCATTGGGAGACAACCGTGTGAAAATCCTGCGGCGTGCCACAACACCACTCTCATAACGCCAACGCCACGAGTTAATCTGACTGTTGCGTCTTGATGGTCCTGGATCGTGCCAGAGCATTATTCCTGGAACTCCAACACCTCGAATCAATGTAACTGTTGCGTCCTGACAATCCTGAATCGCTCCGAACCACCATTGCTGGTGCGTTAGCGATGAGAACCAGTGAAACTCTTGCAAATGTTTGAAACGAATGTGCGTGGCGCTAAGGCGAGAACCACATTTCGAAAAACAGCCGCCCTCAATCCGTGAAGCTTTTGCATTTTTCTCAAACGAATGTACGCGGCGCTAAAGCGATAACCACAATTTGAAAAAGAACCGCCCTCAATCCGTGGAACTTTCGCACATTTGTAAAGCTAATGTGCACGGCGCTAAAGTGAAAACTACAATTTGAAAACGAGCAGCCCTCGATCCGTGAAACCCATTTAACGTTTTGAAACGAAAGTGCGTGGCGCTTACATGAAAACGTCATTTTGAAAACGAACCGCCCTCAATCCGTGAAGCTCTTGAATCCCAGCAGCCCTTTGGGCGTGAGTGGTTTAGAGAGCCCGCTCTGT